TAATTTACGGAATATAAGACACAGGTATAGGTGGACGTGCCTGTAATTAAATCAAAGTTGTTATAATTAATCAAATCATCATAGAATCACTCAGTGGCGTAGTGAGAAAAATGTTTCGGAAGGGACTGTAGAATTCAGTTTTTTAAATGTTCTTTTTTATACCCGTGACACATTTGGTAAAACAAAAAAAGTTTCGTTTAAAACGTTAAATAAAAATGTAATTAATGTTGATTTATACAGGGTATTTGTAAACTTCCGAAACACCCATCATGAGTAGGTAGAGCGGACCGAACTGAGTCAAAAAGTCTTGTATCACTTTGCAGTTTGCGCAATAATTAATGAGATATTAATGTTTAAAGATAGCCGAATAAGCTCGTCCGCTCGGTCTACTACTACCGGAAGAACGGCCCACCGTCCCCACCGATCGCATGGCGCGCCAGCCGGGCCGCGAAGAGCGGAAATGGCCTGGCAGACGCGCCGTTCTCAGTGGTTTTAAAATATAAATAATATAATATTTTTTCGTAACTCTTTCTCTTAATTCAATAACATTAAGAAGTTATTCAAGAATAATAACCAACTGTGGCGTCTTCCCCCCAATTACCTTACATATGTATTATTACAGAATATAAACAGCTATAAACGTCGTTACCCTTCGATCATTATGCAGTCTTTATACTTTGTTCCAAGATAAAAAAACGCCCATTTAATGGATATTTTTTATTTACGACATGTGTCGACTTGAATTGAAATTGATAAAATGTTTTATTCGTATAAAAGATCAATACAAACTTACTTTTTTAAAAAAGGTAAAAAAAGGTACTAAGCACACGTGCTTCTCCAATAAAGTCTAAGTATCTCTCCAACCCAATTAATTATAGTTTTAATTTTTCTTCAAGGATATTCTTATTGATGGTCTTCTTATAACCCAAGTAATGGCAGCTTTAATTCTTTGTCAAAAATTATTATTCCTCTCAAAAAAAACTAATGTATCAAATGAAAAATTAAAACCCAGATGCTACAATCTTAACTAATCAAGTTAAATTCTATCAAATTAAAAAGTAAAACCCAAGTGGTACTATTTTTGTTATTTACTTAATTCTAATGATATGTATCATTCGTAAAAAAGATTTGATATCAACAATTGGCGCCAAGTGTCTTTACTTGAAAAAATTTTCTATTTAAATTAAATTTTTTCGTTTTATACTGTTAGTTCTTTAATTTTTTTCATGGCCTTGACAACGTACATCAATGTCAAAATCATCGGAGTTAACTCCCCTAAACAAGAGTTTTATCAAACTGATAACTTCTATTGCACATAGCACTCTCTAGAGGCATCATTCAAGTGAAGTATTGTACAGCTGAACTTTACTCGGTAAGACCTTTCCAACAATATAAGTATAATTCATTCCAATTTACGATTATCGTTTTGCTTCCCTTGTGAGTTATTAAAATTATTAACAAATACTAGCATATAATTTCGTTTGCCATGCACCGCTAGCGCTTGTTGCACACTCTCGCGCCAAAACACGCAACAGTACATTTGGCTAGCTTTGATATATACCATATCAAGTGAGCGACGAACATAATGAACATGACAACGGACGTATCTTAAAAGTTTCACATCAGGACTTTGCGTCGCAATATCTCCGCTCGTAGGGCACGTAGAAAAAAATTAAAGCACTTTTATCACACAATTTCAGTGAACACTATCGATTGAGCGTATGTAAAACTTGATTGATTCAGCCGTTATTGAGATCCAATAATCTCAATCGCCCGCAACTCGCGTAAAGAAATCACGATAGTGTCGTTGCGCATGGTTCAGCGCCGAGACACTACCGTGTCTCCTGATTTTTCATGTCAATAAACATGTTAATATGTTAAACTTATAATTTTTTTAAGAGTAACATTGGTCACTTCATTTTCTATTTCTCTAACATTTTTTTTTACAAAAAAGAGGAAAATATATATTTAGGCCATATTAGTATATGTGTAAAAAAGGAAACAATTCTGAATATTAAAAAATGATACATTTTCACATATTTACATGTGTACTCAATATGACCTAAATGCTACTTTTTTCATATCTTTAGTGCATCTATGTAAATATCTGAAAGTGTCTCATATTTGTTTAATACTCAGAAATGTTTCCTCTTGAATCTAATCACCAGTTTTCAATATTGACTCTTCAAAAAATTAGAAAAAATCACAAAGCTTAAGTAGACCGTATAGTCTTACTTTACTTCTGCCCACTAGAAAGGCTATACATATATCGATAAAAATATCCATAGATTGTTCAAGACATTTTTTAGCAAAATGGATAAAGAAACTATCCTTTTCCTGACAAAATAGTGTCGTCTCTAAAGGATTAATTTAACGTTGATGGTATTGTATTGTAATAAAAACGGAAGACTTGTCGAGAAAATCCGGAATATTAATTCGCAGTGATAAAAGATTAAGGTCGTGCTGAGCGAGATTAGGGCCAATCAATAGCGTAACGATCACGACCTTCGCCATCAGCGTCGTTGTTGGAATTGTCAGATGCGCCGAAGGGGCTCCACGTGTCCGATGCGGTGCAATCCGTCAATCAAACCGAAAACGATCGTCGGTAGAATCGTCAATGTTCGAATTTAGGTCATTGCAAAGCTCGCATGAGCGGGGATTGAACTTGCGTAAGCTGTCCTATAAGCCGGAAAAAATAAACAACGACGAGCGCTTTCGCGCGTCGGAAGCGAGCGAATCGGAAGCCGCGAGCGCTCTCTCTCTCTCTCTCTCTTAAAGAAAACACTGTCACAATCCTAATAAGAACGCACCCTTGCTCCCCGTGCTCTGGCAGTAACCTGTTGCGGCGACTCTATTAATAGTTCGAGTGCCGATAAAAATCCGATCATCCGACCTCGTTACGTTACCTGGTTACCCCAACACTTTCCTAACACACGTCTTGAAATAAGATAACCGGACCCCTATATGCCCCTACTAAGTTTTGCGATTTTTCTAATTTTTTTGCTGAGTCTAAAATTGGAAATTAGTGGTCATATTCAAAAGAGGGAATGTTAATAAAAAATATATAAGACATATATTCAAAGATTTATATATAGGTGCTGTAAAAATTTGAAAAAAAAGTAGCAGTATTTAAAATGTTTACGCTTAAAACATCTTTACAAAACAAATGTTTAATAATAATAGATATTTCAATTTTAAACGTTTTAGACTTTTTTAAATACATCGTGTTTTGTTTATTAAAAAAGTTTAAAACTAAAACATCTCTCTTTAAGTGTTTAAAAAACAAAAACAAAAACAAAACAATTTATTATTATATATTAAAATTAAATATAATAATAATATATTAAAATTGAACATTCTTTTATAAGTATGTGTACCTAATATGATATGAATATATATTTCTCCTTTTTCGTAAAAAATGTTAGAAAAATGGGAAACAAAGTGATGCACACAATATTACTTTTATATAAGATTATATACATTATATAAGATTATATAAATTCATTAACATATTGACATGTTTATCTACTCATTTTCACGATGCTTAACAAGTGAAGTAGAATCCATCTGGAATAACAAAAATACAAAAAAAGAACGTTACAATTGATGTGTACATATATTCAACATGTCTATAACTTGGCTATATCGGTTTTATCTTAGAAAGAATTTCCTTTCTTTGATTATAAACAAAACGTTGTAACAAAAATATAAATTACATATATAATAAAAATAATAAATATAAACTACATATATAAAGTATGAATACAGAGCTATAATAACATGAACTACTAAAATTAATAACTACTTTTTGACAGTTACGTACACTGAAAGAAAAGATTGGCTG